ACAAAGCCCGCGAAACACAGTCTCCGTTTGCGCACGGTGGCCTCGATGGTTTCCACGCAGCCTGCCTGGATGACGGCCTGGGCATAGGACAGGGGGCGGTCTGAGCGATTGTTTCCGCTTGCTCCAGCCGATCGATGCACCGTGTAAGGAACTGGCGGTGGGTCCCATTGAGCTTCGTGTAGTGCTCCGCTGTTAGGCTCCACGAGGCGCACCCATACAGGAGAGTCTCCACCACTTCAGCCTGGAGAAACCGGATCTTGAGCTGGCGGTTGGCCCGTCGCCTGTCGTACATCGAAGCACTGTTCCGGCGGTAGCACTTCCACGCTCGGCAGCTGCGGCTCGTGATCTCCCGGTCGGCCTTCCCGTCCGCGGAGATGGTACGTCCGAGGTACACAAACCGATCTGTCTGCTTGTACGTCTGGCCGGCGGCGCTGACCGTGAACGGGCGTTCCTCGATCCCTTTTGGCAGCATGCACATGATCTCCGTCTTTGGCTCCGACAGACACCATCAGTCCGAACAGGCCGGCCACGCGCACGATGACCGAAATCATATTCTCGAGACTCTCCGGCGAGCACGAGACGATGGCCGCGTCGTCAGCGTAGAGCATGGCCCACAAGGCCTCCGCGTCCGTCACCACCGTCGTCTTCCTCCCCGCCGACCTGCCCTTCTTGCCCGTGTACTCCACTTGTGTCCCGATCTTGACCATGTCCGCCGTCACCTTGGGGTCCTTGTCGAACTCAGCCACGGCAACCATGAGCATCGCGGTAAAGAACAGGTTGAACAGCAGCGGGGCCATGTGCTTGGCGGCAGGGGCGGGAAAAACGGTGCAGAGCAGAGAGGTGGATATTCCACCCGAAGGTCCGACCGCCTCTCCAACGGACAACAAGATGAACGCGTCCTAGGTTTGCGCGTTTGGCGCTGCTGCTGTGGCTTTTTTTTTGCCGTGAGAAGGCAAACATACATACGGTGCCGGGAACGCGTGCGTGCATGCTTCTCCCTTCTTCCCCTCGCTCCTCGACAAGCTTTTGCTTAGACATGGGTTGTAGTGAAGGGGGGGGTCTTTCTGGCGAGCAGGGCTAGATTCACCCTCAAGGGATGACCGAAACCTTCTTGCTGCTGCGCATATCCGCCGCGAGGCATGCGCGTGGTGGTGTAGTTGGGTCGGCACTGATGGGGTCAGGCGAAAAAATGTAGATGCGCGGGCCTCT